AGTAAGATTGTTTGTATTAATAATATTGTCAAGTCTTTTTGTAAAGATTTTGGTAAGACATTTTTTAAAAGGTTCAATAAGTGAGATAGGTTGGACTTGCTCTAATGTAAAGTCCCATTTGTTTTTTTTTGGTATTAAAAAGATATTAGAGGTTTTCTAGTCAGTTGGAACTGTTTGAAGATATAGATATTTGAAGAGAAAAGAATGAAAAATGTCTTGACTAAGTAGTAAGGTGTATTTAATATATTCATAGCTAATACCAGAAGGTTCTAAAGCTTTTTGATTAGATAATTGATTAATTGTTGTTTGCTATTTATTTTATGTGATTTCTGTAAGAATGTTATTATAGAGATATTCAAACTTAGGATGTGGCTGGTATAAGGTATAAAATTCTGAGTCAGGAGTTATATCTGGAAGTGGTTGATTTTGAAAATAGTTTTGGAAATATTGTTGGGTAGCAGATTTGGTTTCTTCAGGGTTTGTAAATAAGGAATTGTTAAGTAGAAGTCTGTCCAGTGACACATTGCTGTTAAATCTTTCCAAGACTTTTTTGTAAAATAATTTAGGGTTTTGGATAAAATTAGTATTACATTCCTGTAATTTGTGTTTAATTTCAAGGCAGTATATTGTTGTTTTTCTTGTTCTAGAAGTATTTTAATTTGTTTGATTTCAAGTTTGAAAATACTTTTTATAGTTGGGATATAAATAGAAGTTTGTATATTAGTAAGATTAAAGAGAGTATTGTTTGTGTATTTGTTATAATAGTTTGTAATTAGTTGAGGGAGTTTAGGAGATTTGATTAGTTTTTTAATTGTTAATAGGTATTTGTATTGAAGTTGAATAAGTGTTGGTTTGGTGTAAAAAAGATTAAGATTGTTTTATTTTTAATTTTTTTGTAAGGAATATATTAAGAGAAGCTTTCGAAAAGGTTTTGTTAATTGTTTTCCAAGTTTTATCTAGTTCTATTTGGTTTTCCAAAGAGAGGGTTGTTTGTATGAAGAGAAGAGTGTTAACAGAATAGAAAATTCAAGTAAAATAATATTGTGATCTGATTCTATTGTAGCACCTTCAATAATATCAGCATAGTCCAGAGAAGCTATATGTATATTTGTCCATATTTGGTCAATTCTACTATGACTATTGTTGTAAATAAAGGTGAATTTTATAGAGTTGGGGTGAAAGAGATGGAAGGTATCATGCATGTGGGGAGTAAGAAATTTAATAAGTTGTGATTCAGGTGTTTGTGTTCTTTTTGCTGAGAACGATCTAATTTGGGATTGGGTGTTGCATTAAAATTACCCATTAAAATTATTTTGTGAGTAGTTTTTTGTATAAGTTTAATTATTTGGTTTGTTATTTCAGTTTTTAGTTGCTTCTTTTTTTGTGTTGGAAAATAGACTTGGATAATATGGAGTGGATTGTTTGAAAGAAAGAGGTCTAAACAGATAATATGTCCTTGATATTCTTGTATATATCCAATATATTTTGTGAATATAAATTCCAACATCTCTTTTTCTTGATATAATAGGTAGGCTCCAAAAGTTTGAAAAATTAGTAAGGCTTTGTGTAAGAGGTAGGGGATTACTTTCTTTTTCAGTTAGATGTGTTTCTGATAGACCAAAAATATCAATATTATTTTCTAAAATATAGTTATATATAAGTAATTATTTAGAGTTGGTTGAGAGGCCATTAGTATTAAGTGTACAAATTTTGATAGTTTGAGAAGTTGATATAGCATTGTTGTTAAAAGAAGAAGTATTTGATTGTGTTTGAGAATTATTATAAAAAGTATTAAAAAAAGATGAGATAGAAGTGGAATTGGAAGGGGTTATTGACTTAATAAAAGAGTTATAGTATGCTGGAAATTGATATGGTGAAATAATTCTATGATTTATTAAGAGTTAATCATTAATATCAAGATAAATATGTGTTTCATATGTATATATATTGAGAGATATTTTGTAAAGTTTGTAGAAAGATTGTTTTAGAAGATGATGCAAAAAGAATTTGAGAGTTTGATTAGAGTTAAGTAATGGAAGGTTGTGTTTTTTAAAAAATTTGTTATAGCAAGTTTCCTCAGAATGATGTGATGTAATGTTGTCTGAGGAGAGGTTTTGTTTTTTACAAAGTTGCTCACCATTTTAGGCCCAGCTCTCACAGCTGTGCAGATATCCAAAGTCTGTTCTGTGCATTGGGTCTGACCGTCATTATCTTGAACCTCCACATATATTTGTTACTATTTATATTAATATAAATCATATTTATTTTTATATGAACATTAAAAAAAAATTATGTTTACAAAAATCATTAAATTTTTTTTGAATTTCCAATACTGCTTGGCACTTGTCATTTAGAGGTAGTTCTCATACACTATCTGCTGACAAGCCCAGAGTTTATCACTTATTGAAAAAATATTAAGCAGGTGTTGAGTAGTGAGTTTTGACTATAAAAAAGAAAACTCACACTTCTTTAAATTGGGTTTGAAGCTCAAGTGGTCTTTCTTTACTTCTCGTCATTTTTCTGTTGGTCTTCAAAATTTTTTTATAAAAAGTGGAATTTGGCTTACCCCCTCCAAAAAATCGGCATTGTTTATTTACCAAATCTGGATAGACTGGTAGATAGCAACTTAGTGTTTGGAGACGAATACGTTGCATGGGCCCTAAAGCAAGTCTTGATCAAAAAAGGAATTCCTGGTGGTGGCATCAAGTAGCTTGAGACACGAGTACCCGAGTGACAGCGCCTTTATGGAAATATTATAATCTTGTCATCATTGGCACTGTATATAGAGAGTCAGATCCTAGTATAGCAATAGCACTTGTTTGAGATACAAACTAGATTATTAAAAAGATTCAGAAATAAGTTGGAGAGAATTTTAATATTAAGTTTAGTCTTACAACAGAGATATACAGATATTGCATCTGGTATATAATTTTTAAATCACCTAGCATGGGTTATAATAGTGTGTCAGATCACTTAATTTTTTCTTTTTTCTGCTTGTTTTATCTATTTTCATTTATATTAGAATTGGTTTAGATTCTTCTTTTCTTTTTTTTTTGTTGTTTTATTTTCTCTTTTGAGTTTTGTTTTTTTTTTTAGAATAATTTATATTTTTTTCAGTTATGAGAGAGCTTTTAGAAATTTTCTTTAAATGTATCTTTTTTCATAATGTTGATATATATATCAGTCTTATGTAGAAGTAGGAGGTAATATGTATAATCTGCTGAGATTTAAATAGATTGAGTTTAGGAAAATATTACCAAAATTTAAGGTGAGATAAACTTGAAAGAAGGAATCGGCTCTTAAAAGAAGTCTTTCTTTTGTAAATTGGCATATATGTTTGCACTATGCAGAAGTAGGAGAAAATATAGTCTGCCTAAACATTGGTAAAATAAGGCTAGAAGGAAGATGAAATATAATTGGTTTGAATGTAGGTACTGTAGCTAAGTACCAAGCTATAGCAGGTTTTTAAATATGGGTATCACTGTATGTAGAGCTTGTTGGCAACATCAGTGCAATAACTATAATTGGGCACTTTTATAGCAGCCAGGTATCTGCCTAATCCATAAATTAGATAGTTAATTTTGTAAATTACTAAAATTTTAATAAATTAGTGCAAGGTTATTAAAGCAAAAAAAAAATTAGATGTTCATTCAAATCTAAAGTTGTTATATTTTTATTAAAATATATATTAGAATGCATATTTTATATAAATATTTAAAATAATTTAATTAATTATAAAAAAAAAAACATGGCAGCTGGTTGGGTTTAAGTTACAGAGGATGAAAAAACAGCAGTCTTCAAAGGCAAAGTTAGAATAAGCGACTGGCTATCATCAACAAGACCTGAGTTGGCTGCAATTTTGTGTGCTCTATTAATAGTAACAGAAAATGCTTGTGTAAAGATTAAGACAGATAGCTCAGCAGCAGTCTCAGCTATAAGACGGGCATTAAAAGAAAAAGATTTTAGCAAGGGGCTGAAAGTGAAAAATAGAACAATACTTGACAAAATAGTAGAAACCATCTAGTTTAAAGAACTTGAGTTTGATTTAATAAAGATCAAAGCACATAGTGGAGTAAAGTGGAATGAAGAAGCAAATATCATTGCAAAAGAAGGTGCTTATTTGGATAAAACATGGAAGTGGCCAAACAACCTGTGATCACGCTAGAGTTTCAATATAAAGTGGCAAGAAAAAAGTATTAAATATCCTCTTTGAAAGTTCATTTTGAGATTAAAAAGAAGGCTTATAGAAAGTGAATTGTATCTATCCAAAAGGTGTGATTCACTACAACAATTAGACCAGAAAAGTAACCCCATATGGTCACGTTGCTGGGAAAGATTAAAAGAGCTAAGAGGCCAAAGATATAGATCGCTCCAAGATAGTAATAAGCTTGTAAGCCGATTAAAGGAGTTATTTGGTATGCTTCCAACACTAGATAAACTCCACCAACGCAATCCAGATTTATACACTTCACCAATGTGTATAATGTGTAAGGAAGAGAAAATAATCATCTTTTTAGCTGTAAATCTTATCAAGAGGTCTAGAAGCAGGTTGAAAACCAAGCTTTTGCGACAGTGTGAGCCATGCTTGAAGAAGAAACTAGATTTATGTATTCTATAGAAGAAATCAGAAAGGTGGTTTTCAGAAGTAAACAAAAAGAAAGATTGGAAAAAAGAAAAGCCCTCACTTTCAGTCTAGCTTGCCAAGCTGATTTTTCAAATCTGCAAGTAATAAATAAAAACCACAAGTCAAGTAGACAATGCTTCGACGCACTAGTTTATGTTATACAAGAGTGTTTCTATAGAGTGATATGGAGAGAAAGATGTGAGAAATTTGCAGTATAGAAAGAAAGTATGGGTATAAGCAGAGCTATCAAAAGAGAAAAAAGGCCCAGAGTCAACAGTACTGCCCAAGTAGAAGCTAACTCCGTAGCAGAAGATAAAGAACTGACAAGAAATTCTAATGCAGTGGAAAACCATTCAAAAAAGCAACAAAAAGGTAGATGAAAGTGTCAAAAGAAGAAGTTGCAACATTAAATGGAGTGAAAAAACATAGAAGCTCAGAAGACTCTTTAGTAGATAATGAAGTTGCATCATCAAGTCATCCAAGCAAGAGACAAAAAGAGAATAAAGAAGGAGCTGAATTATTGAAAGTTGGAAAAACGAAGAATACTTTGGTTAGGTTTGGTGAAAAAGTAGGTGAAGTTTATAAATTGGCAATAAAAACAATAAGGTTACAAATCTCGAGTTCTTTTATAGCGAGATGGTGGTCAAAATAAAGTTGAAAATAATCTAAAAAAATAAGGTAGCTGAGTACCATGCTATAGCAGGTTTTGAAATGCAGGTATTACTGTATATGGGATCTGTTAGCAAATATCAGTGTAATAACCATTCTTGGGCACTTTTATAGCAGCCGGGTTTTGCCTAATATGTATTTAGATAGATTAATTTTTTTGTTAAAAAATTATAATATTCTAATAAATTAGTGTGAGGTTATCAAAGGAAAAAAATAAAAAAAAAATAAAAAAAAACATATAAATAATTGAGTTCAATTATTTTTTATTGTAGTATATAAATTAGTTGGTCTGTTTTGATTTTGTTTAATTGCTTGATTTATTTTATTTCATATATATTCAAAACTGTATCTCTTTTTAAATATTTGCAATATTATCAATAGTAGATTTCTACAGTATAAATGAGTAAATTAACTAGAAAACAGATATTGTTAAATATCTGAAGCATAGAAATATAACTTTATTGACATTTTATATATAAAATCTATTTTTTATACTATTTTTACAAATAATACAGAGGTAAAATTGCTAATTTTTGGTCTAAAATTAAATTTTCTTCTAGCCAAACCTCGAAATAATATTACTTTAAAATAAAAAAAAAATTGTCTAATTATATGCATAGTAATAATTATCTAATCTAAAAATAGATGTAAATATAATTATATACAAAATCTGGTCTATCACTCCCCTATTAAATCTCCTGCTATGCTCCAGACAATTTATTAATTAATAGAAATACTAACAAAGTGCTCTGTGTAAAGTAATCTTACAAAAGACAATCTAAAGGTCTAAATATCACTAATATATATATGTAAGCACAGATTAAACGTGACTTATAAAATCTCTTATTTTTATCATATTTTGTAGAGTAAAATACCTCTTGATACAATACTCTACTTTTTATTTTAGTAATTAAATCTGGGTACTGTGTATGATTTATAATATGATTAATTATATAGTACTATAGTATTATAAATACTTCTATTACATTACTTTCTTATTATAGTACCTGGATCTAATTAAATATTTTTTAAGCCCTGGGTCTTGGGTATTTTACTCCAGAAATTACAGGGCCTGAAATTAGAAGTGGTAAATATTTTAAAACACAATCTTAAAATTATATTTGTTTAATTTAAATCTGTTAAAAATAGTTTAATACATTATAATATAATTATGATTTAATTGTATAATTTAAATATATATTTATCTGTTATTATAATTATGTCTGTAAAAGATCTCATCAAAAATAATCAGTTTAAACTTTACAAAAGTTGCTAAATCTAATAAGAATTATCAAACAATACCTTACAAAAAATATAATTATTGTGAAGAAGACTTTGTAAAACTAGTTAACAAATTAAAAGGTTATTTATTAAAATATAAAAAATTTTAAAAATCAAAATTAGAATTCTAGTTCTTTAGCAATTTATTTCAAAACTTATTTAATAGGTTTGCATAGTGACAATATTGTAAACTTAGAACTTTCAATACAAATAAATATAAAACTAATTTAGAATAAAAGGTTGTATTAGCTAATAAGCAAATTTCATATTTAAAAAAATAGCGATTAATAACTTTGATAAAAATTAAAGCAATCAAATATATTAATATATATATATATATTACGATCATGTCACATACCCTGCTTTATTAGTGAAAAAAATTATCTCTACAGATAACTAGTTACACCATGCATTATGACAAAAAAACTGGAATATGGCTTACTCATTTTCCAATTGGACCTATATATAACCTGCCAAAGATAAGTTCAGCCTCACCAATTTGTTTTAATATCCTAGCAATAGAGACCTGCCTTAGATCACTGGCCTGGTTTACTGACCTATCATACTCACCTTCTTTTCAAACTTTCTTCTCCTAGCCTCCTAGGTAGAAGTATGCCACCAAAGAACAATGGGGGATTAAGAAATAAAAAAAAAAATAAAAACTAAACTAAACAAGTAAAAAAACAAACCAAAAATAAAAAAAGAGAAGGTTGCAAAAACAACACTATTTTTGTTCATGCTAGACTATATAAATTATATATATTGCATAGAAAACAAAATCTACCCTAATACTATATATAAAAAGAATAAAAAAAAAAAAAATTGTCTAATGACTAGAAATTTCTATATATGATCTCTCTAATCCCTTATAGTCTGTTATTAATTATTGAAAAGCAGCATCTGAATAAGCTTATAGCAGGTTCTATTTCAGAAAACATGTTCTAATTTGGAAGGAGAAATACTGCTAATCTTTTAGAGAGATATGCTAATTTTCCTATTTTTGGCCAAAATCTCTAAAAAAAATTTCAAAATAGCAAAAATATAAAAGAAAATCTTTGGTTGCAAATACTTTCAAAATTTCTAAAAAGTATATTGAAATCCAAAACTTCTGTTGTTTTCTCTGTGTTCTTCTTTGAAGTAACAGTCTTAGAGCTTCATTAATGAAGTAGTAGTGAAGATATACTTGCCTCTTCTTTCACCAAGATTTTTTATACAAAGGCACTACTTGCTAGTTATCTTGTATAATAACGCTCTTGGCTTGCATGCTAAACATCCTTTTAGAAGAGTTACTTAGAAAAGCAGTTGGCTTTTAGACAAACTACACCATAAGGCCACATCTTTCCAACAAGAGTTATGTTTTTTGTTAGTTGAAATTTTTATATGAAAATGATCAAATATATTAATTTTTTAATATTTTTTTATATTATCAAATAAATAAAAAATTTGTATATAGACAAATATAGCTATAAATAGTAGCAAATAATTACTTTTTTATAACAGATAAATAATCATTTTTATTTTAATTATATATATATAAATTTTTTTGCTAAGTGTTTAGAGACTAGAGTTTATTGACATTTTAAGTGTTAAGGTTAATTGATCTATACAAATTTTATTTACAGTAATAAATTTAATTTAACTAGTCTATATCCAATATATTATATAATCCTAGTATCTTTATATCCAGCACTACTACTACACTTTATCTATTATTGATAAGCTTTTAACTCAAACTTTTTATCTTATCTAAGATAGGCATTGGCTACATATGCCTGCCCCAATCTTTCTGTGTCCTACACACTTCAGATTTATAGAGTTCACTTCTACTCTGATATTCACTTCACTACACTTTTAGGTTCTTCTTCCCAACTTAATATTTGATCCCAGTTAGTTAGCCCAGAATAAAATTGGGTTATCCTGGCTTTATATGCCTTTGGACTGAACTTCTAGTTTGTAATTTTATAACACATATCTTTTGGATCTTCTTTAGTATAGCTAGGCAATATAAAAATATTATAAAATTATAATATAAAAAAACTTTAATTCTAACTCTAGAGCTAACTATAAACTTTACTATAATCCTTAACTAACTCTAACTAATCTCAAATTTGCTTAAATTAGTTCAAATACTATATTTATATATTATAATCCTATAATAATTTTATATTGCCTAATTATACTAAAGATCAATCTATCTTTTTACTCTAGTGCAACTCTAGCAGCCACCCTGGTTAACCCCTTATCTCAAAAGGTCTAGTCTAAACAATACACTAGGAACTGTGCCATTCAAGTTTCATTTCACAGCATCCTCAAAAGTTTCTGTTATCTCTCTACTTGGGTTCTTTCAAACAGGTTTTTGATTATCTTAGCTTTCTAGAATTTACACAGCATTAACTTATCTTAGAGTTTGCATCTAATAATTACCAGAATACATTCCTTTGCATAACTTGTACACAGATGCAGGCCTATGCTCTACCATTTTGTGATAGCTTAATTCTCATTTGAAATGGTATTACCAAAAATTATAGATCATAGATCCAAGCTATTTTTAAAATAGTCATTAACTATAATACAGCCCAATATTTGAAATTGTCATCTATAGGATTCAAACACTAGACCTGCTACTTGGTGGGGTGACGACTAGTCCACTTCACTAAGCTACCACACCCTTACTTTAATTATATAAATAATCATTTTTATTTTAATTATATTGTTATAAGTGGAATAGCCTTCTTAATATGCTATCTGCAACATAGTACATAGTGTTAGGATTTCTAAAACAACAGAGAAAGATATGAAGCAGTGTGGAAGTGAGATATTTCCTCACTAGAGCAGTTCGGTATATTCATTAGAAGTATATATACATAGTTTACTTTATAGCAAAGATATGTTTATTTATTTATAATACAATGTCTAGATACAAAGCTACTTATAGGTATCTATTCCTATAGAATCCTAATATTTTAAAACATTACAGAAAACAAATCCTCTAGTCAAAGAGAGGGTAAAAGCTAGGGTTTTACAACCAATATAAAATATACAATAATAAAGATACAAAGGTACAAAATATATAAAAGATATAAAAGATACAAAAGGTATAAAAGATATGAAAGATATGAAAGATATAAAAGATACAAAAAATATAAAAAGTATAAAAGATATAAAAGATATAAAAGGTACAAAAGGCATGAAAAGTACAAAGGCATAAAAGATATAAAAAGTATTATAGTAAATCTATTTCTTGATTATCTAGCTAACTGACAGTTCATTCATCACATATTGTAGCTTGTTTCAATTATTATGATCTTCTGGATCTAATAGAGATAAAATCTCTAATATATTTTATAGTATTAATATATTCTATAACAATATAAAGAAAAATACAAAATTCTAAAAGATTACTTGAATATTAGACTATTTTTCTAATTAGAATTTTGAGCATAAACACTTTATAAAAACTAACTTTAAAAAGTTTAGATAAAGTTTTTGTTTGTACTTATTGTAAAATATATAACTATTTTTTTTTTATTATTATATAATATTATCATAATAAATTAATAAAGAACTACAAATATATACTCTTTCCAATGATCATTTGGACCGAAATTCCTACTAATAAAAAACAGAAAAATTTGTTGAAGAGTTATAGTCTATTGGTGGTTTGTCTAGAAGTCAACCTACTACTATGGGGGACTCCTCTACAAGGAACATTTGGCATGCAAGCCAAGAGCATTATTATACAAGATAACCGGCAGAGAGTGCCCTTGTATAAAAAATCTTGGTAGTAGGTAGTTCAGAAACAGACTGACGTCGTCAACGAAGCTTTTAGGTCGTTACTTCGAAGAAGAACACTGGAGAAACAACAAATTATCTGTTGCTCTAAAGCTACACACTTTTTTTTTTTTTGTCTCAAGTGACTCCTCTACTATTTATTTTCGACTTCTTGCCATTCTTTCAAAAAATTTCGACAAAAAGTGGGAATTTGGCTTACCCCCTTCAAAAAATCGGCATTATTTATATCAAATTCAGACGGACTCGGTATGATTATAACTGACGTGTTTTGTTTACTTTGAAGATACAGTGCTACTTCACATAACTTGGATCTGAGTCTCAGATTAAAGAGATAACAAAATTTGGCCATTAGTCAGAGAGTATATATTATAGTTTTGTTTCATAATTGAGATATACAATAGTGTAGTTGTTATAAAATTTTTATTGTAACTTGGCACGGGTTATAATAGTGCAATTTTCTTGTTCATGGCAACTTTTGGGTTGCTTGGCTGTTTCTTAATAGAGGTAGCACCCACTTTGTTAGCCTTTTTGGCTTTTCTCTTTGTTTTTCTTTTTTTACATGTCCTTTCCCTCTTTTTTTTTTTTCTTTAAAATTCTCCTTTTGTTTAATTTGTTTTGTTGTTAGATATAGTTTTTTTTTTGGTTCATAATTGGTGGTTTTGTAGCAATAGTATAAAATCACTACTTTCTTTTGCTCTCGGTAAAGAAAGAAGAATTGAAGAGATTAGCTCTTGACGGGTTGACAAGGTCTATCCAACTTGTATACAAGATAGTGTGACGAGTCGCTCATAGGCATAGTTTCCGCAGCCAGGAGATATCTAGCTTGCAATTTTTAAGGCTTAGTTTATTTGAAATGGTTTACTATTGTTAATTAAATAAATAAAGTTTTTGTATTCAAGCTTTGACAAGACCATCAAAGAGTTAAAAAAAATAATAATAAAAAAATAAAAAAATAAAGAACTACTTTACAGAATCTTCATATTTTTTAAAATATAATAATAATATAATTATCATATAATTAATATATATTTATTGTATAA